ATAAGATCGGGGCTCCACAGGGTGAGGAACTTCGTCTTATGAATCCTTTACTGAGTAGCTCATTGAGCTGGCTGGATAACTCTTGCATTTCTTCCAGCGCTAGATGGTATGGGGATTTAGCTACAGCAGTAGCTCCGGGGATCAAGTCGATACAGAACTCGACTTGGCGCACGGGAGGGATTCCGGGAAGTTCTTCGGGGAAGACATCAGGAAAGTTGCAGACTTCGGAGATGCTCTCGAGGTCCTTAACTTCCTACTTTTCGTTAACGACATGGGCTAGGAATGCATGTCACTCCTTTCATATATATTTTTGGGCTTGAATGTAGGAAATGATACGAAGGTTCGAGCTGATTTTATCGCCGTAAACTATGAGAGATTCGCCCGAGGGTAGATTGAGACGGATGGCTTTTTCATAACAAAGGATATCGGCACGATTGGGGCTCAACCAATCCATACCAATGATGACATCAAAGCTTTTTATAGAAACTGGCATAAGATCGATGGGGAAGGAATGATCGTTTAGGGTAAGGGTGCAACCTATGAATATGTCGTTAGTTCTCTCTTTCTTTCCGTTAGCCATCTCGACGGTAAATGTTTCAGTTAAAGGTTGGGATTTACACTTGAGTAGATGTTTGAATGCATGACTAACAAAACTCCTCTCCGCACCGGAATCGAAAATAATGCATGCATAAGAATTGTCAATGAGGAACGTACCCGTAACAACGGTGGGATCAACAACTGATTCCTCCTGGCCCATTGCTAGCACTCTCCCTGTATTGCCAGGTATTGTTGCCCTGGGGCAATTTCTCTTAAAATGCCCAACATCCCCACAGTCATACATGCTTGACCAGCGCCCGCTCCAGGACCCTGATTGGTTGGTTGGATTGGTGCCTTGCAGAATCGAGTTGTGTGTCCCTTCTTACCATAACTGTTGCACAACAAGTCCCGGCACTACCCATGATGATGGAAGTTTCACTTGTCACACTTCGGAAGGGTACCAGCATACCTACTGGCAGGTGCTTGAGTAGTAGCAGCGTGGACTGCCACTGTTTGTTGTTTCTTGGAGGGCTCCTGCGAACAATGCCCCTTTTGTTTGTTCCAGAACTTTTTCTTCCCACCACTTGCCTTTCATGGTTCGGGAGCGGCTGTCACTTCATCCAGACCAACCCCGTGATCTATTAGGGTCTGCGCCAGGCACTTGGCGCTGTCAAATGTAGAAGGCTTAGCAGCAAAGACATTCCCTTGAGTTGGGGGCGTTAGTCCCCAAATGTATCTTTCTATCTTTTTGCTCTCCGGGGTGACCATTCCCGGACATAGAAGAGCTAGATCGCAGAATCTACCTGTGTAGGCAGCAATGTCGGAACCCTTCATCTTCAGGTTCCAGAGCTCGTGCTCTAATTTCTGCATCGGCAGGGTTAGGGATTTGACTCGACCATTCCACCACGTCGGTGCTCTATCGGTGAAGGTGCATGTGGCAAACTTCACCTCGTTTGCCTCTGAACACGCGCAAATCTCAAAAATAGATTCGATCATCTCGAACCATCGAGTTAGGGAAATGACTCCTCCATTTCCGTCGAAGGATTGAGGTTTTGCATTCATGAAATCCTTATAGGAACACTCCTTTTGATGTCCCTGATCGCCGAGGTTCTTGCATGTTTCCAAGAAAATCCAATATTTTCTTTAGTAAAAATGTGATAATATCAGTTCTATCTATGACTACTTAGTTAATGGAAGCCATTCCACAGTCTATCGAACAAATAGTTGATTATGTGGATCTGCCCTAAGCCCAAAACCAAACAAGGAACAGGAAATGAGGCGGAAAGCACACATTCCACAGTCTATCAAATATTCTCCATACGTAGCCCTGATGCCTAAACTAAGGAATTATAGAATTAACTATGAATGTTTGTTACTGTATCCTGTTGTAGTATAGGAAAAACGTTAGTTTGTATGTCTGGTTAAAACCAATTATAGTATGTGTGTATTCTTGTACAAAAACCTTTGTATAGTATGTTATGTATGAAATCCTGGCTACCACCAGTATGTATAGTATGTTCTGTTTGAAAACCCTGGCTATCACCAGTATGTATAGTAGTTTCATTACTTAAAATAAAACTAATGAAGAATGAATTCCCGTAAACAAATGGTTAGTTTATACTATTATGAGTCGTATAACCATGTTTGATATGACCTAGTGACCTTTACGACGTTCTTCAAGTGTTGGTTAAATGACATTTGTCACCCCAGGCATGCCTGCCTATCTATAGCTAACAGTTCAGGTGTGGGATTGTCAGTCCCGAATAGATATATTCACAAATAGCACGCTCTCCCTCCAGGAGACTCTGGTTATACTATGATAGGATTTAACCTGTACGCCGAAGGGTACATTTGAAGTGTTGTCTCACAATCCTGTATTAACTAGTTTACGTGTAGTTCTGTATTGATTTACTGTATTGAAATCTGTGTGTATACTGTATAAGGTAATAATTATACTTAAATAATTATTAAATGTTGTACTATTGTAATATTATATATCATAAACTAAATTTGTCATAGTTTATATGTTTACCCGTGTATGTAATCTGAATCGGTAAAAGATGTGTATTTAATTCCCCAAACTATACCCTTTATAGTTTGCTTGAAATGTTATGTACTTGTTTTGTAAAGTTGATCTGAAAACTATGCAATTATGTTTCCAAGTTGAAAGTGTTCCTTATGCTCAACATAGTACAAAAGGGATAAAATATCTAAATATTTTGTAAAACGTGGAAATAGTTTACTGTATCAATTGCATAAGTTTTAAACTTGTTAAAACCTTTTGTTTTGGTTAACCAAAATCATTTGTGTTTGGCTTGTATTCCCCCCTAAAAACATTAAAAATCATAAAAGCGTAGGGGTATGAACTCACTGTTAGTTGTGTGCAAACGTCGAATCAAAGAACTGCAAATGAAGACCCTCGAGTTGTTGTATGTGGCACTTAACGGAATCATAATAACAATTAAATACATATGTGTATCTAAATTAGCGATTTCGTTAGATAAAGTGTTAGAAAAACACTTGCTTTCGGTTAAGGAATGTTACCGGGACTTGATTGAATCGAGGGAAACGGGTTTTCAGTCTATTTCACCACTTAGGAAGGGTTTGCGGCCATGAAGGGGGGTTTACGGCCGTGAATGGAGTTTACGGCTGTGAACTGTCTACGGCCGTGAACAGCCTCTTGAAGGGTTTACGGCCTTTGAAGGTTCGATGAGTGTACGACCGTAAACGGGTTTACGGCCTTTGAAGATTTGAAGATATGAAGTGTGTACGGCCGTAAACTCAAGAACACTGATGTTGGATTTGACGAAAACGCATTTTAGATGTTCCAAAACAACCTCCGAAGGTGATTATCAATGATTTTCGGAAGGATAAGGGGGTTTTTGGTGTTTACGGTCACGAGTTTTAGAGAGAGAAGGAGAGAGTTTCGGCCAGAAAAGTGTAAATGAGGGGTAGGGACTCATATTTAGAGGGGGTTTTCATGGTCGGTGGTGGGGTCCACCTGACGCTGGCCGTAAACGAGTTTACGGCGGTGAACTCAAGCCAGGCCGTGAATTGTTGTTTTGATCGAAGGAAAACTTGAAATTTCGCGTATTTTTGGTCCCGACTCATATATATAGTTCAATTATATAACGAAATGACTTTCCAAACCAAAGGAATTTGACGGAACTTAATAAAAGATAAATTTTATTAACGGAAATTAGCTAATGGTAATGGAAAAAGGTTCGGGTTGTCACAGTTTTACTTGACGCATCAAATTTTTTGAAATTAAAATCTGCATTTTCAAATTTTTTTTCAATGTGTCAAGTTCAGCATTCAAACTGGCAAGTTTTCCCTTAACATAATCATAATTCACACATTTGTTGTTGTACTCTTCCTGAAGTTTCCTAAAGTCTTTAGTTTTGGCCTCTAATTGTTCTTTCAGGGAGTTCTGACCTTTCCTAAGGGTATAGCCTTCGTGCTTAAGGTCCTCATTTTCTCTACGCAATAAATCAGTTTGATCATGCAGAAATTTTAACAGTGTCCATGCATTTTTTAGAGCAAGAAATTTCATTGACCGGGATGTTTGCGGAACTCATTGTTTAAAATGGCTTTTGACTATAAACCTCAAAAGTCAACCTTAAAAGTCAAGTTTAAAAATTCAAACATAAAAGTCAAACTTGAAAAGTCAAACTTAAAAGTCAAACCGAAGAACTAAAAGTGAAAATTTGAAGGTTAAACGAGAAAGTCAAAGTTTAAAGTCAAATGTCAAACTTGAAAGTCAAAGTCAAAATTTTAAGGTCAAAAGTCAAAAATGATAGTCAAAAATTAAAAGTTAAAGCTTTGGGCTGAAAACGAAATTTTAAAATTTGGAAAATTGATTTTTGGGCTAAAATTGTCAAAAATCCAAAAATAGAACCGAAAAAGCGAAGCTATTTGAATTAAATCGGGAAGACATATAACATGAGGCTTGCTAGACGGATTGGTAAGGGTGTGGGCTGTATGTGTGAGAGACTCAGGTTCGATCCTTGCTACAACCAGGATTTTTTAAATATTCGCTTCCGACCAAAAATCTGAGGATCGCAAACGAAGGCAGGAGCTGATTGAACAGGTGCAAGACTGCTGACTGACCACGTGCGCAACCGAACACCTGCCGGGCCGAAAATGCCGGGACGAAAATACGAAACGAACATGTGCAAGAATTGCTGACCGAACACGGCCGAAATCGGATTTCGGCTGTAAACGCTGCTGACCGCAAATCAGATTTCGGCTGCAAACCCTCGCAAACCGTAGCTCCAAAACTCGATCAAAAAGCCATATTTATGAAAAACACGAAGAACAAACCCTCAATATTTTGTCCAAAACTAATAAAAAACGTAAGACCCTTCAACAATTCGCTTGACGTATCAATCCGATCCACTTGATGGTGCGGAATCTCAATCAAGTGGATGATGCAAGATGAAATGGAGAAGAAGAAGAAGAACTTGATGAATCTCAATGAATTAATGATATGATTGAAACTCCATACATAAGATTCACACAGACACACACACACTTCTCTCTAGTTTCTCTCTCTAGCACATGCACATGAACTGAATGAATGAATGTTCCCACATGACACCCCTCCCCTCCTAGACTATTTATACAAATGGACCGAAAACCCAAGCCCACAACTCAAAGGCTGGACCGAAAACCCATGAGTTTTCGGTCCAAGCTACAATTAAACCCAAGGAGTTTTCGGCCTAAGACCGAAAACTACAATATCTAATTAAAGCAAAGTATAAACCATATTTTTGACCCAACAGCCTTTGCGAATGAGCCACATACATATATTCTTCTTTTCTTGTCATGACCACCAACAACATTCGTCAACTTCTTCACCTACGGAAAGTAAATCTCACACCTAGAATGCTGAGAATCTCCCAATATTCGCTCTGAATCTTCCTTAATCATGTTTATCAGATTCAATGACTGTATAAGTATGTCAATCTGTAAAAAAAAATTACCCATACAAAGCCAATAATTATATAAGACAGTTAAAAAAAACAGGTTACTCCATTGTCAACTTTCAGCAATCAGATTATATAACAGCTAGAATGAATTCACTTTGTAAAATTTCAGCAAGTATAAAGTTTATGTGAAGAATGATTCACTGCATAAGTATGTCAATCAGATTCACTGTAATAACAATCACAGGATGCAAACAATCACATGTAAAAACAATAGCTGGAACACAGGGGCAGAAAAAAATATTGATTGCTTGAAAAGGATGTAACAATCAGATTCACAATTACTCACGTTTGTTCCTTCAATTTAACAAGTGTTGAAGAAAAAAAGAATTACAACTCTAAGTGAAAAAAACACGGAAGAAGGATGCAGAAGAAAAAAAAAATAGTTGTTACCTATGTGTGTCCAAGAAGAAGAATGTGAAACACCCTCTTAGTGCTTCCAAATGTATCAGATTGTGCAGTTTCCTCAAAGCCTATTGCTAATGATGCAGCTCCTTTATTGAGAGCATACTTTCTTATCCGAATGGCACTATTGTGGTTCTGAACTGCATACATGAAAGTGCTTTGATTAACCTAAATACATTCAATACACATACAAACATACACATAACACACTAATCTCAAATATGAAAAAAAAAATCAAAAACAGAAAATTGGACTTCCTGTAAAGAGACACCAAAAAAATAAAACAATTTTAGGTTTGGTAGAAAAAAAACTTTTTGGTCTGGTTCAATCCTCCAAAAATCCAAATTAGATTTTCTAGTTATTTGATATCCTGTAACTTTGTCTATCTAACTTGTATCTACTGCTATACGTATTTTAGAATTTAAACATGAAATCTTTTTTCTACTTCACTTTCTTGTCTTTTTGAGGCTCTAAAAATCATATTTCATGATATAGACTTTGAACTTGTGATAGTAGTCTGGTAGATTAGTATATATGAACTGCTATTGTGCAAAAGAGAAAATTACTTTAAATCAGAGTGCATCATAACTGCTGTGGCACCACCGACATCCTCTGACGCCAAAGCAACATCCAAATTGCTACAGCCTTCATCTAGCTTTTTAGTGATTTCATCATCGGTATATCCCTTATCTACAAACTTATCTTCAAGAACAACAAGTTTAAGCTGGATCTGACGCTTAAGGATATTTTGTTAGGTTTCCTAGTGACGCCGACTATACCCTGTCCAGCCTCATATCCGTCGTTGTTCCCCGTCAACACCTTGTTTGTCTTAGGTTACAAAGAACTTATTGCTCTGAAATCATAATTCAGAAAATCAAAAAAAAAAGATAAATCAAAAAAATTAGGAAATCAAAATTCGATTTCTTACTTGCTTCTTGATGGATGATCAATGATGGCTCGCCAATCACTCAATCGGTGTTACTGGAACTCTGGAAGTTCTAGAACCGATTTCAGAACACTAAAAAAATCAATCTTGATGAAGATATGGAAGATGGATCGAGGTTTGGGAGTGTAGAAAATTAATACTTGATTTCCTTCAATAGCGAGAGAGAGGAAGGGGGTTCTTTCGTCTGTCGTTCCGATGGTATTGAAAACCGAAAACACACTTGCCCAATTCAACCTTCAAGAATCGGCATGACATAGTGATGGAGCGAGAAATCAGGGGCGTTTTGTTTATAACTGGGCTTAAAAAGACAAAGAATATATACGCTGGGCCTCTCTCGTTGTATCAGGGGTGTTTGGTTTATTTTTTGAGAGCTCAAAAATTCTTTTTGGAAAAGATAAGATGCAAAAGATGTTTGGTAAAATCATTTTAAAAACAACTTTTGGATTTTTGATATAAGGAAAACTGACTTTTTGCAAAAGTCAGAAAATCTGACTTTTTGTAACTTTTGCCAAAAAGACTTTTGCTTCCCCAAAAGATAAGTCAAACACCCCTTAGGTTTTTGTTTTATCGTGGGATTATGAAATATTTTTGGAGGGATACAAAAATTGAGAGGCAGGGTTTTTTAAATAATTAGAAAATAAATCATTTTTAAATTATAATTGAATTTAAAGTAATATATGATAAAAAATTATTATTATTATTTATATTAATAATTTTATCCAACAACTTATAAAAGTCACCATTGAAACTTATATAAAAAATAGTATCATTATCACACAATAAATATGATACTTTTTGAGAAAATGTATGATTATTTGTTTTTTTTTAAACACAATATTTATTTTTTAATTATATTCAAAAATAAATTTTAAAATTGTGTTATTGAATAAGTCATATCCGATAAGATGGGTGCGGAAGGGGCCAATGTGAGTAAGGATGTTACGACGTGGTAGTGTAAGGGTGAGGTGGAGTAGGCGTAGGTCTATGGGCGTGGAGTGAAGTGGTAGGTTAGTGGTGTAAGGGTGAGGTGGTGTAGGCATCAGTGTGAGCGTGAGCATGGGCGTGGGCTTTTAGGAATAGGTAGATGGGTGAGTAGGTGTGTGCTGTGTTGGAAGTGACTTAGGGTGGGCGTTGGCTTAAGCTATAAGTCCTAACTCACAAGCCATATACCTTAAGCCTTAAGCTATAAGTCCTAACTCATAAGGATTAAGCATTAATCCAAACGCCAAAATCCATAATCCATAATTTATAAGTCATAAAGCATAGGCCTTAAGCCTTAAGCCCTACACCACACGTCCTAAACCCTTTGCTAAGATCCCTAAGCTACAAGCCATAATCTATAAGCCTTAAGCCTCATACCATAATCTCTAAACCTTAAGGTATATGTCATAGACATAAGCCATAAGTCTTAAACCCCAAGTCATACCCTATAAGACCTAAACCATAAGGGTGTAGATGTATAGGTGGGATGGAGACAAGGTAAGGTGGGCGTCAGTATAGGCCTAGTTCTTAGGGCATATGAATGATGGCTTAAGGTTTATGGCTTATAAATTAGTTAAGGTTTAGGCATATATCCTATATCATAAGCCATAAACCACATGTTAAAAGTCGTAAGCCTAAGAAACATGTCTTAAGCCCTAAACCTACCTCCTTAGGCCTAGGCCAAAAGCATTAAGCCCTAAGCCATATGCCAAAAGCAAAAATCCACAAGCCACAATCCATAAGCCACTAACGACAAGGCACAAGCCATTAGCTATATGGAATATGCCCTAAACCATTTGATAAAAGTCATAAGCCTAAGCCATAGGCATTAATCCCTAAACCATACGTCCTAAGCCCTAAGCTATAAGCCTTAAGCACTAAGCTATACCACAAACCACGGGCCACAAAGCCACAAACTATAAGTCATAGGCCATATGCCCTAAGCCCTAAACCATATGTTAAAACTAGTCATAAGCCTAAGCTAAAAGCATTAATCCCTAATTGAAAATGCTTACTTCCTAAAGCATAAGAATTAATCCCTAAGCCATACACCTTAAACCCAAATCCATAATCCTTAAGCCCTAACTCATAAACCATAATCCTTAAGTTATATGTTATTAGCCTTAATCCCTAATTCATACCTCATAAACCAAAAGACATATATCTTAGGCCTTAAGCCATAAACCATAAGTAATAAGCCATTTAACCATAAGTCATAATCCTTAAGTCATGAGTCAAAAGCCATAAGCCATAATCCTTAAGCCATGAATCATACATTATAAAACACAACCCATAAGCCATAAGCCCTAACTTATACGCCCTAATCTCTAAGCCTTAAGTCACATGTCATAAGTTATAACATATAATTCACAAGATATAAGCCATAAGCTATTAGCCATAAGTCTTAATCCCTAAGCCATATGCCATAAGCCAAAAGTCATAAGCTATAATCTGTAAGCCATACACCTTAAACCCTAACCCATAAGCCATAAGCTCTGAGCGATATGTCATAAGCCATTAGTTACAAGCCAATTGTAACGCTATCAATGAACCGTAAGCCCTAATCCACAACCAACCATACCCACCTACAAACCCACACATACACACCACTCTACCCCAAATCCATATATTCACCACACACCCCACCCTAACCCCTAAAACAATAAACCATAATCCATAAGCCATACACTATAACCCATAAGCCATATGTCTTAAACACTAATTTATAGCCCATAATCCATAAGCCTTAAACACTAAGCCACAAACCATAACTCATAAGTCATACGCCATATGCCATAAGCTCTAAACTATATGTCATACCGCTTAGCTCATAAACCTTAACCAATAAGTCATACACCATCTACTCATAGCCACCCAATCACCCTACCCCTACACACTCCACGTATCATATACAACCACAACCAGCCACACAACACCTCACCCCAACCAAAAACCCCCCACACCACTCAACCTCATCCCAAATCCCCATATCTACCTACCTACATCCTACATTCATAACCCACCTACACCCATCCACACTGAAACTCACGCCTTCCGCTAATATTTTTATTTATTAGTTGCAAATTATTGGAAATATATTTTTTAATATATAGACTATATTGCAATAATAGTATATTTTTGTTATTTTTTATAATTACATATCTATATCAAAATATTTTTATTATTTCCTCCACTTCTATATCCAAATATTTTTATTATTTAAATTCACAAAAAAATCAATTCAACCCTCCAATGTACCTAAATTAGACTGTGTCATAAAGTTATTCCTAAATTATCGATTCTCTTTCGTTCTTTATCCAACGTTGAAGTCTCCCTCACCTGAATCACACAACCTGACTAGTGACCGACTCTGCTCCATCAATCCATGCCTCCTACTTTAATGGTTGCTCCATGTTAGTGCGCCTACGTAGCAATTCGTTCACGATGCTCACCTCCAACAACATTAAATTCTAGCAAACAATTCACAATATCATTATTATGAGTCATAAAATGTTGTAAAATACGACGGATCCAAATTGACTTAAATAATATTAGTTCAATGCGGAATGGGATCAAAAATTATCAAAGCGTAATAATCACAACGAAATACGAATAAAATAAATAGAATAGAGACACAGGAAGTTACGTGGAAACCCAAATCGGGAAAAAAACCACGGGCGGAGGAAGCCGAGAAACAATTCACTATAATTTGCAGTGTTTACAGGGATTATGAAAGAGATTACAAATAGAGTGGGAGAGCTAAAATATACGGTGGTGTATCAATATATATATATATATATATATATATATATATATATATATATATATATATATATATATATATATATATTTGATTTGGTTCGTGGGGTTATGTTGTAATGAAATGGGTTAGGCTATTTATAGCCAAAGGAATACCAAACGAATTGAACTACATATGTCGTCCAAAGAATTTGCGCCTACCAAATTAGAATAACAAATAGATATATATTACTATTTATGGTCAAAAGGTTGGCAATGTGAGGCGCCTCCATTTATGACCAAAATTGTTGCGCCTCCATCTTCTAATTCATATATATTAGTCAAAGTCTCCGTCCATTATTATTTCACATTTCTTATATATTACTATTCATAGTCAAACTATGAATAGTAAATGATAAGTTACCGAAATAACCCCTGAACTATTTGCCACTTGCTAATTTTGGAGGCAACTTTTCCACAATCTCCACCTTGACATCAAAATTAAGCAAGTCATGCTTTACGATTAGTCAAAACCTATAGCTCATCAAACTCTAAAACTTCCATAAGAACCTGCAATTTTATATAGAGAAAAATTGTTTCCGAAAAATAAATAATACTTCCTCCACCTACGAGCCTTCAGGCTCAACTGCGATCAGAAACACCCGCCATGTCCAAACATAATTTGAACTTGGCTATAGGAAGACTTTTAGTGAACATATCAGCGGGATTATAATCTGTATGAATCTTGTCCACAACACAATCACCATTTTCAATGATATCCCGCACAAAATGATAACGAATATCAATATGCTTTGTTCGGTCATGAAACATTTGATCTTTACTCAAGAAGATAGCACTCTGGTTGTCACAGAAAACTGTGGTCACCTTTATTCTATCATCGAGTTCTCCAAATAACCCCTTCAACCAGATATATTCCTTAACTGCTTCTGTAATCGCCATGTACTCTGCCTCGGTAGAAGACAGGGCAACTGTAGACTGTAACTGGGCTTTCCAACTAATAGCACAACCATTTAGAGTAAACACATACCCTGTAATTGATCTTCGTTTATCCAAATCTTTGCCATAATCTGAATCAACATATCCGAACACCCCAGTGTTAGATTTACCAAAACGTAAACACATAGAAGACGTACCACGTAAATAACGAAAAATCCACTGTACTGCTTTCCAGTGTTCTTTCCCCGGGTTCGCCATGTATCTACTAACCATGCTAACAACATAAGCCAAATCAGGGCGCGTGCAGATCATAACATACATCAAAGATCCAACAGCACTAGAGTATGGAACACGTGCCATGTAAGCCATATCAGTCTCATTAGTAGGACTCAAAGCAGATGATAGCTTGAAATGAGCTGCAAAAGGTGTGTTGACAGACTTTGCTTCGTGCATACTGGAGCGTCTTAGGACTTTCTCAATATAACTTTTCTGAGAAAGATGCAAGATCCTAGACTTCCTGTCACGAATAATTTCCATACCTAAAATCTTTTTGGCAGCTCCTAAGTCCTTCATTTCAAATTCAGCTTTCAACTGGTCTTTTAACTTATGAATCTCCTTTATATCTTTTGCTGCAATCAACATGTCATCCACGTACAAGAGTAAGTAGATCTTTGAACCATTGTCACCTTTCTTGAAATAAACGCAGCTATCATAGGTGCACCTGCTGAATTTGTGACTGGTCATGAAAGAATCGAACCTCTTGTACCATTGTCTAGGAGACTGCTTGAGGCCATAAAGAGATTTGTTCAATTTGCATACGTAGTTCTCCTTTCCAGGAACTGCAAAACCTTCAGGTTGTTGCATAAAAATCTCTTCCTCAAGCTCACCATTTAGGAAAGCTGTAGTGACATCAAGTTGTTCTAACTCAAAATCGTTAGAAGCAACCAACCCCAACAATACATGAATGGAAGTATGTTTGACAACTGGGGAATAAATGTCAGTGTAATCAATACCAGGAATCTGACTGTAGCCTTTAGATACTAACCGAGCTTTGTATCTTGGTTTATCATTTGGGTTGACAGGTTCCTTGATCTTGTAGACCCATTTACATTTAACTGGTCTTTTCCCTTTCGGAATAGGAACTAAATTCCAAGTACTGTTTCGCTGCAAAGATTCCATCTCATTTTGCATAGCGAGCATCCAATCATTTGAGTCTTCAGATTTGATAGCCTCGTCATAATTCGCAGGCTCCGTTGCGGACTCAATATTATCACCAACAATAAAAGCATAGGCAACCAAATCAGATTCAGCATACCTCTTCGGAGGAATAATCTGTCTTCTCGGTCTATCTCTTGCAATGCTT